CCCCTGAGCCCCCCCCCAAGCCAACGGGGAGAAGAGAAAAACCCCCAATAACACCCCCCTCCTAAAGCCGGAGAACTCCCAGCAGCGCCGCGAGCTCCCCCCGGCGCAGAACCGAGCCGTGACGTCAGCCCCAGCTTTACCAATCTGGCCTTTTTCGTCAGCAAAACGAGGCCCAACGGGGACTCACCCGCGGCCGCGCTCCCCAAACTTTCTCCCGAGCAGGAGGAAGGATGGAGGAACCCTCAGCATGTTAGATTGATAAAAAAAATACATATAGAAACACCCACCTCAGCGAGGAGCTCGTCGGGCCTTGCTTCTGTCAACACCCACCTCAGCGAGGAGCTCGTCGGGCCTTGCTTCTGTCCACGAGTCCAACAGCGGCCAAGCCGAGAGTGTTTCGTGGGTTTTTTGCTTTTTTTTGCGTCTTCACAAGTCTTCTATCCCCTTTTTCTCCTCGACTTTTTAAATAAAACTTCCCAAACCCAAGCGCGGAAGCTCCTGCGGCGTTTCTTGCAGCGGGGAAGCCAAACTGGCTGCGGCGGGGATCGGCGCTCGGCGGTAAAGCTGGTCGACTTGCCAGAAGCCACCCAATATTAATTATTTTTAATTCCTCCCAAAACCCTTCTTCTTCTTCCTCTTTTTTTTTCCCTACTTAATAACTTATTGACATGGGGAGGAGGAAAAGGAAAGTCCGGAACCCCCCCTGCGCTCTCTCTCTAGGCCATCTCTTTTTTATTTTTAAGGACACCGCTCCTGAAGAACTACCCGGGCTGTTCCCTTCTCACCGGCGGGACTTAACGCCTCAGAATTCCTTAAACCTGGATTTGCTGCCTCAGTAAAGCAGCTCCTCCCGCGCCCGCACCGGGTTAAGCGATAAACCTTCACAAAAAAAAACAAAAAAACAAAAAAAAAAGCCAAGAGAAGGTCACCTGAAGCGGGTTAGTCCATTTCAGATTCAGCCCATTCCTTCTCCTTGGCGTTTACTCACAATTAACGTGCTCGTCACCCCC